CGTGCCGTAAATCTACGACACGGGACCCACGGCTTGAAGTCCCTCCCGGAGGACTTGTTCCCTGAATTTTTCCGCCCTTAAATATTCCACGACCTCCTCCGGGTTTGAACCCACGTACCTTGAGTCATGAGGTGGGAACGTTACCCCTAGACTACGGAGGCCGCTTAGCTCAAGCGGTTAGTCGCTGGCTTCCCACCGCGGCGGCCCGGGTTCGATCCCGGGTCTGGTCATGTGGGATTTGCGCTGGGGCTGGTTTTCTCCGAGTACTTCGGTTTCCCCTGCCAATCTTCATTCCATCAATTGCCCCACAATCACCTTCACGTATCATCTGGGGCTGGTACAATAGGCCAGAAATGGCCGCAGTACAAGGGACTTAGTCCCACCCCACTAGCAATAAAAAAAACGTACTAGATACGCGTTAGGCTCGCAACACGACTGACGGTTAAAGTACACATACACATACACATACACATACACGATAACAACCAGACTGTTACGGGGAAGTTTCTTATGTCAACCGGAGAATAAACTGGGAAATACAGAAGAAATGATTCCGTTAAATCGAGGAGTAAGTTTCTTACACACAGGCCATTTTCTCTGGTGGCATATTTTACCAGAACCTCTTTTCCCGAAACACAAAATTATAAATTAACTTTTCAGTAGAATTAAAAGCTGAAAATATACAAAATGACATTAAATCATTTGTGATGTATGGACGTGAAACATGGTTCGTGTGAAAAGGATCAAGTTATGCTGAGTACGTGGAAAGAAATATTGTGAGGAAGATTTATGGAGTAGTAACGTAAATAAGGGGTTTGGAGAATCACAATTGACGAGAATAAAACCTCTGCCCGTATAGCAGATATTAGTAGAGTATCGAAATTATTGGGACACGATATCAGAATCGATCAAATAGTGATGACTAAAAAATGTAATCCAGGTCAAAAGTAGAGAAGAGGCGGAAAGTGAGATGTCTGCAAGATGCAGAGAATGATTTACGGGCTGTGAAAGCGAAGGGTGGAAGGAAAAGGTAAATAATAGAGAAAAACAAGCATCGTAGAACCAAGGAGTAAATAACTAGTTTAATAAAATTAGTTTATATCTCAGAAATATATAACGATAAATATTTTTCATGTAAGTTTCTAATCCTCATCACTTTCGATTAAATTGGCAGCCTTGAAGCCTACGGCGACACCTTTAGCTCCTATTTGGCACATAATATTTTCTAGATAAAAATAACAACAGAGAACTGACAGTAAACAGCGTTGTGATACTTTCATCTGCGTAGAAGTCTGAATTAATTTAATCTAAAACCAAGATTAGACGAAAGACAGAAGTATAGCAACGGCACTTACAGAAACATGACGTTTTTTATCCGCATTTAACGAATTTCCTGTCAAAGAAACAACATGCATCGCGTGGAGTTACCGTTAAAGCACGCAAGATCGATTTTTTTTTCCGAGATATAAGTCATTGACTCCTTTTAAATGGTGATGCTGTGTGTCATCTTAGATTTTGCGAACTGCTTTAAAACTATTAAAAAATGCTGCCCTACAAAAGTTAATACTATGAAATACGTTCGCAGAGTTTATTATATATTTATCACGTTGAAATCTACGATATACTTCCGAAAGCACGTTTAACATTTCTCTTAGAATTATTTTCTTCTAATTAATACAAAATAAAAGAATTCAATTCATACCTCACAGGAAACTCGTTACATCTATGCTACAAAGACAAACCGGTTAATGTTCTTTAGGAAAACAATCGTTGTTTGTGCGAACCATACGAAGCACATAAATGCATTGTATGGACACAATACAGAGTTCTAGTGTGTCAAAGTGGTCGGTACACATAATGACCACGGGGCTTTGAAGGATTAATGGAAGTGGTAAGAGCATAAAATTTATGCGCCTGTGCAACTTTTCCTCCTTCTGCCCATTAACTTTATTAATGTAGTGTTCTTATTGCTCATTAGCTCCGTCAACAATATATTTCTAAGTACAGAAAATAAAGATCGTATAAAACGCATATAGAAAATTCGTGTGCTGCAGGCTGGAATAAGCATTCTCATTTTTTCTATTTTTACTGGGTGCTTTCATAGAGTGCTTCAAATGAAAGAAAAATGGGTATATTATGTCAGTATTTCCTTCCATCTCCACGTTTCTCCACAGAAATTACTGAAAGGATGTCGACGTATTTTCGAATTTGAGTTTTGCCAATTCTTACCAAATAAATTTAATTTTGGTTCGGCATAATTCATGTTTTACGCAGACACTGCCTTCTAAAAGAAGTTATTGAAGGAGAGATAGAAGGGCGGATAGAAGTGACAAGAAGACGAGGAAGAAGACGTAAGAAGATGCTGGATGACCTTGGGGACAGAAGAGGATACCGTCATTTGAAGGAGAAAGCTCTAGATCGCATTAAGTGGAGGAATTGTTTTGGAAGAGACTATGGACCTGTCGTCTGACAGATTACTGATGATGATGATGATGATAATTCACACGAAGCTCAAATTAATCTTATCATCCCTCTCCTAAAAAAAGCTGACTCCTCTCTTCCAAACTCCATGGCATCATTTCTCAGATGACCATAATGTTATGACTCCGAATATTTGGATTTTATATTGCACTGAAGGATGAACCGTTTATGAGTGTCATATAAACTACGGATTTTACAGGATTCATAAGAACCAAAACGAATTTCATCCAAGAATTTCAATTCAATTTCCCCAATACTAAATTTAATCTAAATCTACCAAATAATTTTAAAGATAAAAATATGAGGGCAGATAGATGGGCAAATCAGACCCTATATTCGCTCATTCTGAATACAATAATATATTTATTCAAGTTGTAAGAACAAGAGACATTAAAAATAGAGCATGCGCATACAGTACCATACAAAACCAGTTTCTTAAGGTTTTTCTGTCCAATGATTTCTTGTATGTTGCTTGTCATGAAGAAGTGCCATTCTCCAATCTCCAGGATAACAATGTTCACTACATTTATAACGAGGATGGACAACGTAAGAAATAGCAGGGCCTCCTGCTTCTTGGCTGTCAGGTCCCCAATGCAAGACAGCATCGCTCCACCAATTCCTACAACAATGTTCTGAAACGAAAGACAAAACAACAATGAATAAACTTATAGCTTGAGATGAAACACTTTCGATGAAACCTGAAATTAAGAGGATGGGAAAGAGAGAATTCTTTCGTTCAGCGGTCTTTCCTGTGTTTCTGTCTGATTATTAGACGACCGTAAGAGGTTACTGCAACCAAAATAGCTACACATATCTACCGCTATTTCAATGCTTGGAAACTGTTTAATTCACACATGCGTCACACACACACACACACATATAATCATAAGCTTCTCAAAGAAAATAATCGGTTTCATTGTTTTCATTTAACAAGTATTTTCAGTGACACTTCTCTCGTTAATGGGGTGTGTATTCTGAAGATTTAGGTAAATTTTATTTATTTACCTACCCATTCATTTTGCTAAAGAGCAGGCCTATATTCATTCAAACAATACAACACTGCTGAATAAGAAATGTACATTGATAATATTTCTATAATCAATTTCATTATTTTAGCAAAGTTTATTTTAACAAAATCCAGGACGAATAACAAGAGTTTTCGCTAGAAGGCCTGTTTAATACTGTTTTGGGTTTCTGATTTTCCTTCCTCAAATAGAATAGCTGCTTTCCTGCCTTTTGCGGTAAATGAAACACAATTTTACGAATTAAAATTGAAGGGAGTGAAAACTACTGCTGCCCTCTGAAAATGGCAGTAGCATGTTCCTTCGAAATATTAGGACTCATCTTCCGAGCTCAGTTGTGTCACATCCCAGAGGACAGCAAATTTCATAGTTACGGCCGTGAAAACCTCAAATCTTACATGAAATGGGTTACTCTAAATAGTCCATTACGTCAGGACTGGAAATCGCTGGAAGTTCAGTTGATTGGTGAGTATGGTAAGTCGAGTTCGGAGGCAGGTAGTCCGAGACAGTCACCCACTGGCGGGAAGCCCCCACCGTTTGAAGCCTTTGAGTAGCAACACCGAGCCTGTCGTGAGATGGGCGCCAGCCAGCGAGGGCCGGAGCCGTGGAACACGTAGGCTTTGGGAGTGTTACCAGGCACAACCGGTGAAGACATAGAAGAAGAATTATAAGACTTATTGCGTGCTGTAGTTATTTGTTAAATATATAGATCATGAAATTATTATAATTAATTGCAGTTCGCGTATCAAAAGTCCAATAAATCCAATCACCGATCCGAACTCGGAGTCTAGTCACCTAATATGTGACAACATAGAGTAGTTCATTTTTTTTGTTTTAACATTATCTTTCAAGATTTGATTCTACCCCGAAATAGTACTTCATAGTACTATAACAAACTGATCGATACTAATGTTGAGAATTCAGTCTGTGGTAACTAACTTATATCTGGATGCCGAAGATTCTGTTCCAGGGAACATCAGGAGCTCTTCTATTGCCTAGAATGATTCTTAGGGTCTATGCAAACGCCTATCCAGATCTCGTACCCCCGGGTGTAAAACACAGCATGTACGTGAAACTGGCTACCAATATTCATCCGGTTCGAGGTATAGATTAAGCGAAGCTTGTCTGGGTTGCTATGGCGTGGTGCTTAGGACAGAGGAAGCTACATTCACCTTCGTGTATAAAGTTCCATGTAGTCTATGTACAATGATTCACCAGTCGGGCCGCGCCATTGCTCAAGCGGGTAGTCGCTGGCTTCTCACTGCGGCGGCCCGGGTTCGATCCCGGGTCTGGTCAAGTGGGATTTAAAGTGGACAAAGTGGCGCTGGGGCAGGTTTTCTCCGAGTACTTCGGTTTCCCCTGCCAATCTTCATTTCACCAATTGCTCCACAATCACCATCACCTATCATCTGGGGCTGGTACAATAGGCCAGAAGTGGCCGCAGTACAAGGGGCTTAGTCCCACCCCGCTAGCAATAAATAATAATTCACCATTCAGTTTCACTGTACTAATATATTTCGTTGGGCCGTCATATTTGTTTATTTAAGATATGTGCTTATTTATGGTGTCAAGGCTGGAAATATAACGTCGTCAGTAATGCAGACTCATTCATTCATCTGTAATCTGTCAAGACGACAGGTCCACAGTCTCTTCCAAAACAGTTCCTCCACTTGATGCGATCTAGAGTTTTCTCCTTCAAATGAAAATATTCTCTTCTGTCCCCAAGGTCATCCAGCATCTTCTTACGTCTTCTTCCTCGTCTTCTGGTCATTTCTATCCGCCCCTCTCTCTTTCCTTCAATAACTTCTTTTAGAAGGCAGTTACCGCGCAAGATATGACCAATCCAATTAGCCTTCCGTTTTCTTATTTCGTGTAGGATATTCCTCTGCTCACTGACTCTAAATAACATTTCTTCATTTCTCACATAATCGGTCCAACTGATCTTCTCCATCCTTCTCCAACACCACATTTCGAAGCTTTCCAGGTGTTTCTGATCTACTGCTCTAAGTGTCCGAGTTTCAACCCCATATAAAGCAATGCTCCAAATGTAGCATTTCACTAGTTTCTTTCTCAAATTTAAGTCCAATTTGCTGGCGAAAAGATTCTTCTTCTT